CTTTTACTTGAATAAATATATACTTTGTTTCCAAACATGTTTTGTCATATTAAATAAATTATTATTTACATGTAATAAAAATTATAATTTTTAAAATAAATCATTTAAAATTTTAATATAAAAGAGCATTTATTTAAAGATAAAAAATTATTTATTAAAATAAAGAAAACCTGTATTTTTGGAACAAGCAAGCAAAAATTAAAAAAAACGTTTTTTTAAAGGAAGTAATTTAGTATAATAAAGATAAAAAATTTAATATAATTTTTTTATTTGCAAATAAAAGCATATATTGCTTTTATTTTATATTTTACTAATTCAAATATATTTGCTGCTTGATTGAAATAACTTATAATTTCTTTGTAAATATTTAAATAAATCATTTTTCTTAAATCAAAAAAATTTTTTGGTATTTAGTATACTTTTTTTTAATGTGCAAATTGTGTATTGACATAAACGCGCAAGACCGATTCTTTCTTAGGTACACTTTCTTTCTTATCTCTATAGATTTCTTTGTGATTGTTACGTTTATATTAAATCCTTCCAAGACTTGCCTAGACTTGATTGTTTTAAATATAGTGTTCCACGTATATCACAAGATAATATTTTTTTAACGCTAACATAAGTAATATTTTCCTTTCTGTATTCGGATATTTGAAAGAAAATTTAGAAAATATTATTGTTCTGTGATAGAAGCTCCCTCGTCCATCTTTTGTCACAAAATTATTTTATCGCTGACGTTTCAGCTTAGGCTGTAATACAGACAGATTGAACGTTGAACCAAATTGTGGAGTAATCACCATCGCGAGGATATAATTATTTCGTCCATTTACTAATGGCATGCCCATTAGTACCGCAGTCCCGATAATTACATTCCTAATTATTCACGTCCGCTCATTCATAAAAAGCCGGTTATTGGCGTTTGCAGTCACTAACTCGCGCCCAAAGTTTATCGCATTTCTCGACGCATATATAATCGTTTATTGTCCGCTTTCGCGCGTGCGTTCTGAAAGCGATCGTCTCGTCGCGAGATTTATCGATTCCCTCGGCAAATTTTGGTCTCATTGCGATTACTCCCGTCGCCGACACGCGCGTCGTAAATCATGCTAAAAGCGATCTGGCTTCCGGCGTTCGACTCGGATTATTATCCCAAGCTCGTAGTGGCTTTCGCGATTCTCCTCGCAATGGAAACGGAGAACTTTGGTAGGATAATCACGTAATAGCGCATTTCGCGAGTAAACGGCACAAACGCACAAATCTTTATTGCATCTTGTCATTAAGAAGATTAAATTCGTATCGAGAGATATTTCAGCGAGAAAAAATCAGTTTTAGGTGAATTAGGTGGGTAGAAAAAAAAACCGTGCTTTTCTGCAACGTTGCATAGTTGAAAAATTTGTGTTTTCTTATCAAAAAATATGCCGGTTAAAATTTTTGTGTTAAATATTTAACACTTTCATGTATTAATTTAACTAATATTGCTGTTGTGTTAATTAAATTCAAATGTTCAATTATTAAAACAACTGAAAAAAAAAAAGTATAAAAATAACACGATGTTCTGAGATATGTTCTGTACTATTAGTGACAGGATATGTTGAAATTTATAGAAAAAATAGATTTTAATTTGCAATAGAAGTGAGAGTGACTACAAACGTCAATAACTTTTTTTTCTAAGTTAATTTTATTATTAAAAATATGTTGATTTTACACAAAATTTATTTCAAATTATTTTGTGGTTTGCATTTATTTTGTGTTAAAATATTAACATAGTATTATGTCACCATTTAACATATCCATATTATGTTAAATTAACACAAAGATTTGTGGAATTTGTGTGGACCGTTTGAGACATGCTATGATATATGTTAAATCTAACACAAATTTTTCAACTGTGCATGCTTACTTTTCCGGAAAGAAAGGCAAAGGTTGTAAGCATTAATGGTGGGGCAAGGATCGAAAACGCGAACACGCTTCTTTTTTTCATCGCAAATGTTTCGGCACGATATCCACGCGATAAGCAGCGACACGAGCGCGCGTCGTTCTTAATTAAAAACTCGCGGTATCATCGAGAAAGATCGCGTTACGACGAAACGGATCTATGGTATTATTTTCTTTCGTGGAGATCGCAATTTTCCTGCACAGGCTGTTTTTGTCGAAATTTTTCAACCTATCAATTTGCCGCTCGTGCGTGTCGTATCATACTGTCGCCATCTTTGAAGCTGACGTTTCCTGGAAATTTAAGAATAACGAGTAGCGTGACGTTTCTATATCATTCCATATGTCAATTAATCATAATATATACATAGTGTGATAATATTAATTTTTTATAATAAATATTAATTATATTATAATACAGAAACCTCAATTTTTTATTTTTTAAATTGAGATAAAGATTTCTTAAAATGTATATCTTGCAATCGAAAAATCGACTCGTGTAAAAGCAAGCCGTTAGTACAATTGATTTTTGGATAATGACAAGACCCAACATGAGAGAAGTGACGTAAAGGGACTGTTAATGTTCCCGATGCGAGATATTATGAGTAACATACAAAGAGTTAATTGCATTCTGCCACGTTAAAGTGTGATTATGCGGAATCCGGTCGGTCGATTTCGCGACAAACCTACTGCTGCTTCCAGACCAAATCACTCGTTTTTACTATTAAAAACTATTTTTATGCGTTATTCAAAATAGAAAAAAAGAAAGAGAGAGAGAGAGAGAGAGAGAGAGAGAGGGGGAGAGAGAGAAATAGAAAAAATGGCTTTTCAAATATCGTGGACTATGTGTGCATTTCCACTATTATATTTTATTTTAAAAAATAGAAAAGAAAGTTTAAAAAATGGTTGCTTCTGTTACATATTTATATTCGTCAGAATTCATATATCTAAAATTGTAATTCGGTCGTGGAATAAATCTCGTCGGGTGCAACTTATATTTCTGGGAAATTTCGCTCGTTCGTTCAGAGTGATACAGATTTCGTGACTTGTCAACATGACGTGTCGCACATGCTGCTGTCTCCCTTCTTGAACAAAATTCCTGGCGTACCTTGAAAATCTATTATCGAGGGACGAGTAAAGTTTGCCTGCAGCCTTTCGGCCGCGTGTGTGCCGCTTGAATAATTTATTCTCTGTAATACACCGAGAGTATCCCTCACCTTCCCGTTCGCTCGTTCAGTGATTATCCCAGCTGCTCGTTGTTTGCATAATCCGTCGCGAAGAGTGCATCGCGTCTGCATTACAAACGACGGCCGGATTGCGAATGTAGCGCGACTCCTCTCGCTTTAATCGGACTCGAGAGGGTAATCGAGATGAGTAATCGTCCCAATATGTCCGCGATATCCCATTGGAATTATTCACCGAATATCTATTCCAATTCTATTCCCAATTCTGTGCCGTATGCGCCGATTTATGGAAATATCTCTCTCGAAATAATTCAACTGAATATCGTGCGATCTCCTTTTTTTTTGCAAGTTTTTGTCATTTGTTGCAACATCTTTTATAATATCTATAATATATCAGATACGCATATAACGTAAAAATAAGAATTAACATTCTGAGAAGAACAAAATCTGTTAGAGTTTTAGAGCTGTGGCACAATAAAATTTTTTAATTATGTTTTAAGATAGTGATACTTTGACATTTTAATCGAGAAAGAGTTTGTTTTAAATTAAAAATTCAATAAATTTGTTATAAAAAAATTATATATTAAAAACGCAGAGGATTCGATAAAAAAAGAGAAATTAAAAAATTATATATTATATTGTACATTAATGACAAATAATCTGACCTTTTTAGCAGTTTCAAACAATTAAAATCTTAGTGTCGCGATTTCGGGAATTATTGAATAATTTAACAAGATAACAAAAACATAACTTTTTATCTTCAGGACTAGAAGGACGTGCGAAAGCTATGACGTTGAGGAGAAGCGCTTCTTGCCGGATAATAAATCAATAATTCGTGTATGTGACTTCTGACCGTGAGAACAAGCGAGCCGGAGAAAAGAGCATCGAGCACATGTGTCACACGCAACATTTTTTTTTTCTCAAAGCTCGTTTGTCTCCGGAAACAATCGATTTGCGATTCGATTATGCCGCGGAGTTAGCCATTTTTTTCGCGCCTACGTCGTTCAAGTAATTCTAGACGGGAAGACGGATGGAATTCGCGACGCAAACAATTTTTTTTTTTTTTCATAGCGTTCGATATTTGAAATTGTTCTCATTTGTATTAGCGTGGTAGTTATTTCGCTCTCATCGTAATAAATTGTATGATTTATTCTCTCGGTGGATATTTCATTAATTTTTTTTTTTTGATATAACATACATTTCATGAAAAATATTTTATCCTTATTCACGTTTTTAAAATATGATTTCTGATTTCTCTATTTTTAATACCACTGTCTAAAATATCGAAAACAATAACCCGAAAGTTTTGATAAACAACATACGACTTGTCTATCCTTATTTATTTGATAACCTTTAAACTACTCACCGTACTCGTAGCGGAAGCTATTTTTAATCTTGTAAAGGGATTATGTACAGACAGATATTATTAACCCTCCGTTGGAAATAATAGTCTTATACATTGTCGACATTTTTAATTATTTTTTACGCACACTGACTATTACATATCTGATGTATTTCTGCGTAGAACGTATATTTCTTTAATTTCCGTTTCACAAAAATTGAGATTATTTATATATTTTTACAGATATTTATTTTATAATCGTTATTTTCTCCCCCATTCTTTTCAACAGCTGATCAACTGACAGTTGATAGATGCTCGAGCCTTGTTTTATTATATCATCCGCGTCTTTCCCTTTTTGCTGATGCGTTTTCTGTGTCATATTATATGTAATATGTATTATGTATCACGTACACATACACATACACACCGTAATACATAGAATGTTTGGAAACATCGATCAAAAGCTTCCTGTTATTGTGATATCCTTACTTTTTCTTTTTCGAGCGCGTGAGTGAATAACTGTCCTCTCTCGCTTTCATTTGCAGAAAAATGAAGCTCGATCTGGACCGGGAGAAGGGCCTCGAGCTCTTTGGCAAGCTGATACGTACAAAGAACATCGAAAATCTGCAGGGTAATCAGCCCAAAACCGGTCCCGAGCCACTTCATCCAGCCGACTCCAAGCAGAAATTACAGGTAATGAAAATAATGGACGATATAATTTTTAACAATTTTTGCAAAGATCTCGTACTTTGAATTCTAAGGATATATCTTAAATTATGAGAAATTTTCATTTTTTCTCGCATTTTTATTCACGGCACTGTTAGGTCGGTCATTGTGTTTCCCCTCCAATTGCTTGTTAGAGTTGCTACTTGAATGAATAAAGGAAGCTAGTGAGCCTAGCGTGAGCAGAAAGGCAACTAAAAACAAATGTGAGTGTGGAGGGTTAATTAAAGAGGCAGGCGTTTAACGGTGAGCGTTGTTCTTAATTATCAATTAGAGTGACAGGCAGACTATTAGAGCGGTGAAAATGAGGGATCTCTACGTGCGTGCCTGCTGATAGAAATTTACAAGAAAATTTTCTTTACTTTGACAGAGAGAACGAAAGAGAAATCTTCAAATATAAATATTTTTCTATATTAAAATTTTAAATAATGAATTTTAAATAATGTATTTTAAAAATTATAATTTTTATTACATGTAAATAATAATTTATTTAATATTGCAAAACATTTTTGGAAACAAAATATATATTTATTTAAGTAAAAAAAAAAATCAAAATTAACAAAATGTATTTATTTGATTGAAAAAATTTTCTTTTTAGTGTATGTATCCAGACGATTCGCATCGCGTTATTTCTGTCGGCTTTCACAGTCGCACCGCTAAGAGAAATACGGCAAACTTTTTGTATCTCTAAGTAACTTTTGTATTTCTAACTGCGATGGTAGTGGCCGATGCTGCAAAGCCATTACTTTACATCGGTGGACGTTTCTAGCAGACGGTACCGCAGTTGAAACGCACATAAACCGTCGCAAAGTTTCCCAATTGCCGATCCACTTTCCGTAGGAAAAGTAGCACAGGCTCGACACATATACACAAGTAAAAGACTGGCTGTGGCTAAAGCGTAAATTTTATCTAATGCGAAAGTAGCACGCGAGAAATCCGAATGGAGGCTACTAAACGATGCGAGGGACAAGTGTAGTTCGTTACGCGATAGTCATTGAGAACGGACAAGTATTTTGATCGACATTGCTTGAAACGTTCATTTTGTGCCGATGGAAAAAGATTTAAAATCGCAAACTTCGATAATTTAATTGAGTGGATATTTTGTGGAGAAATATCCAGGTCAAATCAATGAAACTTCAGGATCTTATAAAAAGAGATTGAATTTGAAACAAAAAAATTTCCATAAACATAGATCCGGAAATGATTCGTTAAAAAGTTATAGCTAATAAATTTCGAAAAATCACGTTTTTTTGATAATTTTTAAAAATAGCTTCATAATTCTTTATTCATTTGAAAAAAAGTAATGAAATAAATCTGATGGATAATTAAATAACAAACTAAATTACATCAATTTTATTTAATTTTGATAAAGCGTTCAAAAGAAAATAAACTCAAAACAACGATAAAAGTAGAAACTTGAAAAAAAAAAAAACACTTTTCGATAGTCTTTGTGTAAACACTACATTCGTAATGCAAACATTGCAAATGCAAACATAAAAATGTTCTTATTAAATTTTGATCATAACTCTAATTACTTACAAAAAGTTTATTAGCTATATCTTTCTAAAGCATTTCCGGACCTGTATTTATAGAAACTTTTTTTTGTTCCAAATTCAATTTCCTATAAGATCCTGAAGTTTCATTGACTTGACCTGGAACATCCTGTATATATTTTATTTCGTGTTAAAAAAAAAAAAATATTGCCGTGAAACGTTTATTTTTTTTTCGCACAGAAGCGACGAATTACGATTGGATGGTTTTGTCGTATTTTACTATTGTACATCGTACATATATGCACAGATATTTTTGATTAATTTTTGTATTGACTGTGTAAATGCTGGTTGTCAATTTACGCATGTTCATCGAATTAGACACGTGTCGTGAAAGCAAATACTCGTAGATATTAACGCGCGTGTATACATTTTGTCGTGCTCTCGCCAAATTCATCGGCTACTGCTCTCGCCAAAGTGCACACACGCGGTCTTAGAGATTACAAGCGTTGGGATCGAATGCGGTAAACGACATTATGCATTTGGGACGATCTCTCGAACGGTTTCCCGCGTGGGGATTTCCGGTATTTATTGCACGCGCGCAATTTTGGTCCCGGGTAACTTCCAAATTCATTCATTATTTAGTGTATTATATAGCTCGCTTCCAGGGCGCGTAAGACTTGTGTCCTATTAGAAAATTTGGCTTATATTTAACATATATTGCATGTCCTAAACAGTCCACACAAATTTTTTTTATTAATTTAACTTAATATGGATATGTTAAGTGGTGACATTAATAATATGTTAATATTTCAACACAAAATGAAACTTTTAGTAATTTAATAATTAGACTTTATAGTAATGAATGCAAACTTTATAGTAATTTTGTGTAAAATTGACATATTTTTAATGATGAAATTAACTTAAAAAATTTTTATTGACGGTCTGAAAGTTATTTTCACTCCTAGTAGAATAAAATCAACCAAGGCTTTTTTTCTGTAAATTTTAACAGATAAATTCTGTCATTAATAATATGGAACATATCTATTGTGTAAAATTAAAAATATGTACACATTGTGTTATTTAAAAAATTTTTAACATAAATGTGTTAAATATTTAACACAAAAATTTTAACCGGCATATTTTTTAACAAGAAAACACAAATTTTCCGACAGTGTGAAATTGCTCGCAGATGATAAGGCGATCGACTATTTTTGCTATGAAATTAAGTACGGTTTTTTATTATTATTCATATATTAATCTCCTCTGTATGTTTATAATCTCAAAGGAATGAATAATTAAATTAATTATTCATCAATTTTATATTTTGAATATAACTTGGCCTAGGTAATGGAACTTAGAAATTTATTGAAGATAATTAATAATACATTAAGATCTTCTAAAAATAAACGTCTTGCGAAATTTTCGTACTTGATTCTCTTTCTCACGCGTTTGTCCCATGTTTTAATTCGAAAAACAAATTTTGCTCACGTAATAAAACTTACTCTAAAATATCGCTAATATGATCCCAGAGTTTTATGATTCAAATATAACACAGTAGGACACAAAATTCTTTTCGAAGTGCGATAGTACGTTTGCCGAAGATTTTTTCGCGCTGAACACGATGCCTGAACGTTGTCTGAATTTATTTAGCACGTCAGAATTTAGAGTAAATTGGAATGAAAGGGGCCAAAAATGGCGTTTTTGGCCATTTTTAACATTTTTTGCGGCAAAAAGAAAACTAGTTTCTAAATAAACTTGATGGCATCTGAAAGTATAATTCAAGAACTTTCAAATGAATTTTGGTTCATGATCGTACGACTTTTCTTCATCAAGTTATGGCTGTTTGAATTTTAGACATTTTGTATAATTTACAAGAAAGATAAATACATACTTATATATACATAGCAGCAAATAAAAAAAAGTATTTGTAATATGAATTTACTTGCAAAGAATAGGTCAAGTATAAACTTTGAGTACACATGCTATTACACTTAATTGTCAATTCAAAATGGCGGAATTATTGACTGTAAAGCGCTTCTCAAGCAACTTTTATACCTGTTTATTTGTCTATGTAAGTGGCTATGTGTCTGCGCGTAAATTTATTATTTTGTGAAAACATTGGATTTTAAACGATACAGGTATTAAATATATAAACGTATTTCGAAAATTGAGCATTGCAAGAAATGAAGTAAGCATATTCGCAAGCATATATTTGTCTTTCTTGTACTGTAGATTATACGAAAAGCTTAAAATTCAAATAGCCATAACTTGATGAAAAAAAGTCATACAATCATGAACCAAAATTCGTTTGAAAGCTCTTAAATTATACTTTCAGATGCTATTAAGTTTATTTAGAAACCAGTTTTCTTTTTGCCGCAAAAAAATGTTAAAAATGGCCAAAAACGCCATTTTTGGCCCCTTTTATTCCAACTTTTTTTTATTTAAAATCTTGACGTGCTAGGCAAATTCTGACAACGGCATCGTGTTCAGCGCAAAAAAATCTTCCATAAACGTACTATCGCTCTTTGGAGAGAAAGGAAGAATGATTTTTCGTCCTACTGTGTAATTAAGGATTAAATGATTTTTTCCAGATTGGTTTTTCTAAAAAAAAGCGATATATTTTTCTCGTGGACCCCAAAAATCCTATCAAAACTCCCGTAATTTCTCGCGAACGATATAAATCAGCGTCAATGTTGCGACAGACGAATGCGGGTACTATGGTAATAATTCATGCAGGATTTGCATTAATTTACGTCGTTGCATTCTTTCTATTTTGAACACGACAACGATACATCTGGCGGATATCAATGTCGGATATTTCGCTAAATTTTGGCATTGCCAATCGCGTAAAGTGCGCTTTCCACTATTATCATGCAATTACGTCTCAATAGACATTGACTAATTGTAACACTACACCGCGGAGCCAGATAATTTGATTTTCTGAACTTCTGCAATTAACGTTGCTTCGATACATCATTTCTCTTCAATGTCATTTTTTATTCGTGTCTTTTTGATTTATTAATGATTGCAGGAGATGCTATTATAATTGTAGTTGTATGCAATTAAAAATATGTGCTTAATGTAAAAGTTTTTTTAAAATTACATCGATTATACGACTAATCGAATTGACACAAAACTGCAAAGTTTTTTAAAATAAATGTTTAAATATCATAAAATAATACGTGTAATAAAAAATAAGATGATATATACAGGGTGTCCCATTTTAACTTTTACACCGTAATATCTCGAAAACCATGCATTTTCAAAAAAAAAAAAAAAAAAAATGTTCCAAGTACAAGTAGGATTTGGAGGGGGCCATTAAATGAGTTGATTAAATTTTTGGTCCGGCGCTCACTTTGGATCCAATAAGACCCAACTTGATTTTCTTTAATGGAAACTGCAATCTTTTATAGTGGATTCGTATTTTACACAAAAAAATAAAAAAGTTTTGTTTCAGTCATTTTTTACTTAATCCCTTCCAACAGACCCAATAAGGTCCTGGAAAGTCCCGATCACTTTTCTCGGATGAAAGTCTTCACATCCAGTCCCAGGCAGTCACCTTGCAGTCATCCTTTAACCTTTCGGTCTTACTTTGGGTCCGAAGCCCCGATAACTTTTTTTCAAATGAAAATCTTCATGTCCCTTTTCTGATCTACCTTCAACATTCAATACTTATGTGCAAGTATTCTAATTACATTAGTATGGAAAGAATATGTGTGAGAAAAGTAATCAAGGCCTTATTGGGCCCAAAACGGGCCTTACACTCAAAACGTAACTAGATTCAAAATGCAATCCATGCATAGAGGCTAAAGGATGACTGCTACGTGAATCTGGGACAGGACATGATTTTCATTCGAAAAAAAATTATTGGAGCCTTATTGGGCTCAAAACGGGTTTTGGGCCTAAAGTAAAACCTAAAGGTTAAATAAAGGATGACTGCAAGGTGACCCTGGAACTGGATGTGAAGATATACATCCGAGAAAAGTAATCGGGACTTTTCGGGGCTTTATTAAGCTTATTGGAGGGGGTTAAGCAAAAAATGACCAAAACAAAATTTCCTTATTTTTTTGTGTAGAATACAAATCCATTATAAAAAATTGGGGTTTCCAAAAAAAATCAAGTTGGGTCTTATTGGGTCTAAAGTGGGCGCCGGACCCAAAATTTAGTTAGCTCATTTGATAGCCCCCTTCAAATTTTACAACATATTTAGAACATTTTTTTTTTTTTTTGAGAATGCCTGATTTTTGAGATATTACGGTGTGAAAGTTAAAATGGGACACTTTGTATTGTACATATAAAAATAATATGTAATAATATAACAAGAAAGTATTCTTGAATTACATATGTAAATGAAAAAAAAAGTCTGTTTGGGTGTGGAAGATTAGACTATCCATTTCGTTACACGATTGCCAGAAATGTTAATAATATCACACGATATGCGAGAGAAACTTCACGATTGCTTTATTTTTATCCGCACCAGCATTTTAGCCACTCTCATGGTCAACGTGGGAAAGAACCCCTGGCACACACTTGGAGGGTTTTGCGTTTATTAATAACTATCGGAGGAAAGTAATAAAAATGGCACTGAAAGAGAGAGAGACATTTTAGAAAGAAGTCGAGTAGAAGATGCATAACTATTTCTACAAAGATGCGTACAAGCGCGAAATGCAGTGAAAAGGTTCCGTCGCACTTTTCCACGAAGTAACTCGGAATCACGTTCCTCGCACCTTTTCCTATTATGCTCGCTATATTATTTACCATATTGTATGTGCTTATGCTATTGGCGGTCGCGATCGACGGTAATGGTTGCGCGATATCAAATATCTTTCCGCGATGATTCATCGATTTTTAAAGGGGAAATAATGCGATAAAAATCGGACATGTGTGCAGGGAATCTATTGTTCGAAACGAAAAATACCATATCGCAAACGATAATTTGTCTCGGTTAATTATTTTTATTGTGAAAGAAATTTAGAAAAAAGCAATCTCCGTGGATATAATATTCAAATAAAGCAGACTGAAATTATTTTTTATTTATGTTAACCGTTTTCACAGATAAAACAATATTTCTGCTCCTAATCTGTGAGAATGGATCGCTGCAAATTACAATTTTATTTCGATGCAGTTTAAGCAAACTGTATTATTGTTACTTTAAAAAGAAAATACGCTTATTTCAACTGAGTAAAAAGCTTACTTTAAATTTATATAATTAACAAGTAAATTAGCCTGATAAATTATTGGGACGATATTATATCAATTCCACTATAAAAAAATTTCTATAAATTCAGACACATTTCTGTCTGAATTTTCAAATCTGGATGTCTGAAAGAAATTTCAGATAATCTGTCTTAATCATCAGGTCGTTTCTCTGAGAGTTCAGAAGAGTTTGTCTGAAAATTGAAGGGTGTCTAAAAATTCAGACAGCATTCTATCTGAAAGTTCCGACAGTGCAAAAAAGCTGCGGGCACTTTGTCTAATGTTTCGGTGAATTTCTTTTTTACACCGTTGACTTTATTCGAGAAACTATTTTCTCTCATCTATCATTGCGATGTATTTATAAATGCGCAGATCTTTTTATACATTCTTCGATTACTGTTTGCAGAAGTGCCTGACGACTCTGGACCTGACGTCTTTAGGAGTTGGCTCCTGCGTCGGGACAGGGATGTACCTTGTCGCAGGAATGGTGGCGCGCAGCGTTGCCGGACCTGGTGTCGTCATCTCATTCATTATCGCAGCCATTGCTTCCATTTTTTCCGGTGAGTGCATCACAAGTTTCTAAAAAAAACAAAAAAAAAAAATTACACTTCTCCGTCATCATCGGTTAGACACGTTTGACAAGACACACGATGCATCGTGCGACTCGACACGAAATGGATCAAAAGGTCACAATCGTTCATCGTAAAGCCGTTGTATTCGCATTTGCATCCGTTCCAAACAGCTATTCGCGAAGTATAATATCAGTATTATAGAGCAGCGCTTTATCGGGAACGATAAGTCGATTGTCGTGTTATCTGAATCACATAAGTCGTGATTAAATCGTTTCGAGCACCGATTGGCGACTTTATCGAAATTGTTCGTTGCGATTGTTCTCTCTCGTAGGACGATTATGTCGACTTTCACGCGATTGTGGCGATTTCGCGGCGCAATAATACGCGGTAATAATACGGGACCCCAATCTCTGCACGGTCCACGCGAGCGGAATACGAAAGCAGGGATTTATTTTTGCCGCGATTCACAATTCTCGTGGTCGAAGAAACGACCGTGCGAAAGAGAAAGAGAGGAAAAGAGAGGGAAAAGAGTGGAAGTGGCCTTTATTCATCAGCAGTAAGGGGGTTCCGGACTATTTTTACGAACAATCAATTTAACGATGGACAGCCACGTGTGTGCGCCTACTGTATCGTGTGGGTGTGATGTCAATGCTTCGACGGAGGCGGAACGGATAATACTCCTGAATACGATGATGTATGACAGTCGGGAACTAGCAAATATTTAATCGAAAGATCTATCAAAGTTAAATGTCCGAATCTGCTCGACCGTACATATTATGTGTGCCTTTTACTCTTTTTGAAATCTTACGAAAAAAAAAAACTCCCAAAATTATATATTTTTCTGAAAAATATAAAATATATTGATAAAAAAAGAAACGTGCTTTCTTTGCTACGTATAGCTTGTCATAAGATGAAAGGATAAAGGATTTGAAAAATGATGTGAATGGAGGTGAGTCGTACTTCCGGAAAAAATTCAGTTATTTTCCGTAAAATGTGCAACACACGTTTTTCGCGATTGTTAGCGTATAACGGGGTGACATATTTAAGGATTTTCTTGGGGAGTTTTGACAAGAGATGTGATTTGGATAGCGCGACAAGAGTCAGATATTTTTCTCGCGTGTGAAATGCAGTATACAAGAGAGAATAACTAATCCACGGTGTGTGCGTGTGGCCGGAGATAAGAACCTTATTCTCCGCGAAAATATGGATTTCAGTGGCGCGATATATGATCCGGAAAATTCGTCTTTCGCGCGATTATATATCATGATATAAATCTGTCGACTGTATATAAGACCGCGAGCGGACTTAAGTTGCAGATAATTCTCTCTACGAAATTTCTCTCACGTTTTGAGCGTTTTCGATGTTATCAGACGCGCGATAGGAGCGTTATTATAGACTAAAAATAACATTTCTTTTTAAAACAAATAAACACATTTTGTTAATTTTGATTTTTTA